TTGCCTCTATGGTATTAGTCGGTGATGTGAAAGACCGTACAGCTATACTAGTTGATGATATGGCAGATACATGTGGAACTATTTGTCATGCGGCAGAGAAATTAATAGAGGCTGGTGCAATAAAGGTGTATGCCATACTCACTCATGGTATCTTCTCTGGACCAGCAATATCTCGCATTAATAATGCCTGCTTGGAGGCTGTAGTGGTAACAAACACGATCCCACAAGAAAGGCACATGCAAGACTGCCCTAAAATTCAGTGTATTGATGTTTCTATGATGTTGGCGGAAGCTGTGCGTCGCACACACAACGGAGAATCTGTCTCATATCTATTTTCTAATGTTCCATATTAGTTTAATTTATTTATTAAGGTTCCAGCACTGACAATGTTATTGCTTGTGTTTGGATGTAATCATAAATTTGTTTATGGCATGCACTTTTATTGTTAAACTTGTTTAGTTGAATTTGACCTGACCAACTTGTTAAAAACATTTTTGTTATAAAGCAACATTAAAGTTTGAATGGGTACAAAGTTCCAAAACTGTTCCGAATTTAATTGTTACAATGGAGCATTGTTAAAAGACCTCACTTTCCGATACTTTAACCTCTTTTATTGTTTTTTATTAATAATTCAATTAAATAAAGAAAACAATATTGTGTTTCACCCAGACCCATATTTTTTATCTATGAAAGGTTTTGAAAAAATTGTTGAAACTAGTATAACTATGAAATTATTCATTATTTGGTCATTTCAATGTTTTAAAATGTAGTTATTTTATAAACAACCTAAAGTTTAAATCAAATGCAATATAATGACAACTTAATTACATGAGGAAAATTTTTAAACCTTGCAAATAAATGGTTTTAGGTCAATCCTTGTTTAAAATGCAATAAATTTCATTTCTACTAACAATTCTAAACTTTAGTTTTACAATATAATCTCATAAGTTAAATGTAAGGATAGTATCTATTATTTAGTAATCATTAATTCAAAAATATATTTTTTCCTAAATATCTGAGTTTGTACTTTTTAATTGGAGAAAGAAGACAAATAATTTGATATAAGGAGTTTTCATTTAATTTTAATTTGCATTTATGCATTAGATTTTAGTGCATTCATCTGACAAATTTCATTATTCAAAAGACATTATTAGATTTTAAAAATAGATGTTATGTTGATATGTAAGCTTCTTAATTTGTTTTCACAACGTAATTGGTAGCAACAATAAAATTTAAGGCTTGTGTAGCTTTCATATTATATAGAAATAACACATTCACTGCCAACTGGCCTGGCGATCACTTTGTACAGAAAAATCTTGGCATGGAGTGTGTTAATATTACTTTGGGTAGTAAATGATGACTTTTTTGATTTTTAAATAATTGTTCAATATTAAATGTGGGTAGTATTAAAATGTACCCTCATTACCAGTGAAAGTACCAAAACGAATTATTTTGTACTACTTATCTGAGATTGTCATCTTTTACTATACCAATGAAATGAAAAACATTTTTGTACGCAAGAAATTTTTTCTAATGCATTGGCTGTGCGCCTGATATTTGTAAAGAGATTTTTCTAAATTTGTAGTACCATTATGTATATTTGGTCTATTCGAGAATATTTAGGTAATAAAAAAGCAAATTGTCATTCTCTTTGATTTATATTTTTTTTGTCCTAAAACCTACTGTCAAAACTATTACTACCCAACTTATAATTTTTTTTTTTATCAAAGTGTTATTTAATTCTACGTTTTAGAATAGATGTTGACATTATTTTTGACCGACTTCCCAAAAGAAGGAGGTACTCAATTCGTCTATACGATTTTTTGTTAATTATTTCGTTATTTTTCTGAAGGAAAAGAGTGCTTTATTTGCAGTGAATTTGCGGCACGTCGCTAGCACAACCAATCTTTACGGTGTTACTATTAGATAATGAATTAGTTTCTACATTAATTAATAGATCGTATCATACGAACATGTCATTAATAAGTCGAAAAAAGCAACAAACACGTGGCAACGCTCCAGATGATCTGTGGCCATGTCAAAAATAGTAACGATATAAAAAAAGACCATCATTCTAAATTGTGCGGAAGTGTCTGATTTGACGACGACTGTTTCATTTGATTCTAATTTACAAAACAACGTTAGTCAAACATTCTCTAATTTCCTCTACCTCAAGTGTGAGCTCTGTATGTACAGGGGTAGGCAGAAATATATAACCCCCAAACTAAAAGCACTCATCCTTACAGCATTATAGTATCTCAAATATGCAAGCACACATTTTTGACCGACTTCCCAAAAGAAGATACTCAATTCGTCTAATTGTTTTTTTAATGTGTGTTACCCGCCGCTAGTGGACCGGTTTTGATAATTCTTTTTTAATCCGAAAGGTAGTGCTTGCAGGTGGGTCCCATTTTTTGTTTGATTTTTGGAGTCAAAGACTATGACGTAGTTAAATAGTTTAGCTCAAAATCGCGTGACGAAATTTTTAACTTTAATTGTATTGAAATATAGTCAAAATTACATTATGCAAATAATGAGAAACAAGGCATATATCTTATTTCTTGTATGTTTATCAGAAGTTTTGTTACATCAGTGTTATCAATAAGATACTTGACCTCAGGTCGTGTCTGATGTAAATTGTTTGTTTGTGGGCCCGCCTTGTCGTCATACGAATTAAGAAAACAAAAACATCTATACCAATGTCACCGAACGATTCAAACTTCGTCAATTTACAAGCTTTGATATTTTAAACTGTAACTAGCTTTCATCTGCGCAAATTAAAAAAAAGTAGCCCACATATTCTCCCAAACTATCCTCTACATCTACTCCGAAATTTAAACTAGAAATCATCTTTTAACAAAAAAATATTTCCACAGTTTAAAATAGTACTTGATAAGTATTTTCAACAATTCTTCAAACAGATAACTTCTTGACCCTTTGCATGCGAAAGTTGACTTTAAACATAGCAGTAATAAAAACAACAGAAAATAAGTTTAACAGCCTGGTAGCTAAAAAACAACTGGACTGGCTGAAAGGCAAGTATCCAGACTTGTAAGTCTTAAAATTGTGTGGCAGGCTCCATTTACTGTTCAATCCCAAAGAAGCAAAACTTGTATTTCCATCCGTCTTTATTGGCCTCATAAAACTTTGAGAGAGCAAAGAACTACAATCAGATGTTAAGGAAGTCTTGTCTATTCCATAGATTTGACACATTGGCCAATAAACTTAAATAGTACGTAGTTATATCTTAATTTGTTTACGCGACGTTAATGTAAACATGATCGTCGGCTGTGCGCAATCGAACGTCCTTGACTACCGCCCAATAAAGCAAACTTTATACTTGGTAAATATAAACAGGTTAAAAAAAACTAACTTATGGTGGCCTTGCGATTACAAAAACAATACGAATAGATACATTATACAGGAAGTAAAAAATAAACTAAGTTTGTTTTATATTTGTTGGTTGTAAAAAAATTATAACTACAGTGTAAGGCAAAGCAATTGATAAATTTAAAATATTGTGTTCTCAGTTTACCAGCCAAAAACTTTTTTTTCTGTTCTAACGATAAAACTGTCGTAATAATTTGTTCGTATAAGTAATCGTTCATCGTTATCTCCTCATATCTGACAATATTTACTCTTCGTTAACTTCCGGTTATTTAAAATATTGTTAATCTAGATGGCTAAGAAAACATTAGGAGGTATCAAAAATGTATCGAAAAAAAAAAACTTTCAGTTAACCTAGTCGTTATCTTTTGTTCGTTATGGGTGCTTCCCGTTTGGGACGATTGAATCATTGGATATTATATTCGAACGAAAGTTCAACAAACATGTATATTGTTGACGTAATTCGATAACCTGTCGCTCTTTACCCTGTGACTGGGGGGTACATTTTACAAGGAAAGTTTTCTAAATAGGTAACAAATAATGCAACAATATTAGATTATTAAACTCATTGCAAACCAATCAAGACATCTCAATATACAAAGAGAAAATTAAATTTAAATTAGTATAAAAGGCAAGTTACTTTTAAAATTGTGAAAAAGTGTGTATTTATGACCATATCATGAAGGAAATAGTTATTCATGAACTCTAGAGTAAATTCGGTCTAATTCTCAAAACTAAAAATCTTATATAATATTAAATATAATATACACAGTAGTAAAAAAAATGTCATACTTCTTAAATGTCTTTGAACATACACAAAAATTTGTTTTGATTGGTGTTATAAAATACCTCTTAAACTAAACAGAGCTTATGATTTTTGTCAGTTTGAAAGAACACAGCTTACATCATCTTACTACATGTCCCCGCTGAAGGGCTCAGAGGCTACCCTAAGTTAGGGTTGACTAGGCCGTTGTCAACCTTGCTGGCCAAGTTTGGGTTGGTTGACTTCACACATATCATTGAATTCCTTTACTGATATGTGCAGGCATCACGATGGTTTCCTTCACCGTAAGGACATCGGTTAATTATGTTAATCGAAAATCATATTGGTACATGGCGGGATTCGAACCCAAGACTGTATATTACGCCACTAAACCACTGAGCCATCGACACTCTGTACGACCGTCAGCCTAGATGACCATTTTTAAATTTTGTATGAACAAATACATATTTCGGTTATAAAAATAAATAAAAAACAACATAAGAGTTAAGTTTTATTATTTACTTAGTGTGTGTGGTGGTGTGGTGTGCCTGTGCTGCGGCTTTACGCATCTGGGTAAGCACATTGCTCATCTCCTCACGCTTCCTCTTAGCACGGATGTGTGTGCCGAGACGGCGCTTCAAGAACTTGAGCGCACGCTTGTCTTTCGACACCTGTAGATTAATGCTTCATTAAGTACAGTACATACTACAGCAGTTTTCAGACTACTGCCCGCTAACCTTTCGAACATTTAGAGTGCACACCTAAAACTAACTATTGCACAATTCTTAAGCCTACCTTTAATTCCTATCAGTATATATAAACTCTCGTCTGTGGAGTGTCCCAATTTGGGACGCTTGAATTTTTTCCTTGTCTGTGGGGTGTCCTGTTTCGGGACGATTACACACTGTGTTGACAGTGTTTAGTTTTGAACGTATTTTGCGGTGTATACATAGTGTTTACTCTTTTTGCACTTGGGTAAATCGGGTTTAGAATGAATGACTTCTCATTCTAAAATATAATTTAGCATATCTATGGTACAAAAAAGTTCTAATTTGTCATTTGAATCTGTGACAGCTCAAACAGTGTTTGCCGCGTATAACCGCTAAGTCAGTTCTAAATTTATAATTTGTATGTAGGGTATACCATTTGTTTTTTTAATTTCATTTTAAACACAAGACTGTATATAGAAAATATAATATTACATCCAGTTATTGTTTTTTGTACATATGAGAAAATTAAAGTTAAGTTTTAGGAGACCCCTAAACTTTCTCATAGAACACATACAATGCAATATAAAATCAAGCTTAAATGGTGTAGATAGTTAAAGAAATATTTCTTAAGTATAAAATAAACTGTGGTTTTCATACATTTTAACTAGATTTTGAAATAAAATGGTTTTTCCAGACATAAGTCTCAAAAATTAGTGCTCAAATTCCTGTCTGTTAGAGCGTCCTGTATTGGGACCCACAAATGTGCTGATTTTGACAGTTCACATACGAAAGGATATAGAGATGCACACACTACTCGATTTTTAGTTGTGCAACTAAACAATTGAATCGGCTGCGAAATAAATGACAATTGGATAACAGTTGTGCTATAGTTTAGTCAAAGGTGTACACACACTCTTAATATAGATAGACTTAGAAGAAAAGGTTAGTTTTTAGAAGCAGTCTCAAATTGCAGTTTACTTTTTGAATGAAAGCCAAATGTATGTTAATATCCTGGTTTCAAGTTACTGCACCAACTGTATTAACAAGATAATGAAGGCAATTTCATCAAAAAGTTTTACTAAAGAAAAGTTAAGAATAACCTCATATTATCCTTTTTTTCCATAAGATAGGATAGAGTGGTTACCCCTGTACATATCCCTGGCTATATTTTTCTACATGTTTTGCATTATTGGAAAAATAATAAAATACCGAAATGATTCTAAAACACTTTGCTTTGTAGGAGTCACTTATTTTAGTAACAACTAACAATAACATTGTATAAACACTATTTATTGCTTCATAAATGTTCATATTATGATTATATTTAAGATAACTTAAAATGTAAAGTAAAATTATTACCTTAGGTATCAATAACATATAGAAATCTTTGAGATATAAAAGGAAATGAATTATTCATATGAAAAAAACGAATATCATGATGTTCCATTATAAGAACTATATTAATTGATAACATTTTCATATTGATATATTAGTTTTGACTCTTATTTTTAAGGTTTTCTCTATATTTTACATAGGTTAATAATATACAAACCTTGAGCAACTCCATAGCCCTCTTTTCATACTGTGCATGTCCTACCACCTCACGGACCAGGTCCCTCACAAACTTTGAGTGTTTAGTTTGAAGCTGAAATGTTAAAACAAAACAATTATATATGTGGAATGTTTATTTATCGTTACGACAGGCATTTTATGAAACAATATCCGTACATAAACCATAATTTTCAAGTTTAAACTCTACTGTACGGATTTTATAACCGTTCATGAAGGAACCGGAGTTGAAATGTTTCAGAGATGTATTACTAAAAGTGTCAAATAAAAATTTAAATAACTTACACCCTTTAGTCTTGCTGGCCTTATCCTGATGGCTTTATCTGTAATGCCCTTCTTACCAGCAGATATTTTAGTTGTTTTGTGGCCTTTTCGCAGACCAACTGCGATCTCGAACCGCGGAGCCATGCTGAAAATAAGTAACTTAAGTAAGTTTCAACACGAAATATACACTCGTATAATTCACTTGATAGTATTTAACACTTTGTATTAATTCAATTACGATTAAAAATTAAAGATTATTTGGATAAATTGAAATAATAAAATATTTCACGTACATCACTGTTTGACAGATAAATCCAAAGAGAATTTTTGTTTTTTATGGTTGTCCTTTTGACAATGACAAATTGAAAAGTTTGTTCGAAGGAAATGTAGATTATACAGTACAGATAAAATAAATTAATTCAACAACAAAAATAGTTATCTTTAGTTTTTAAAGTCGACGATACAGTCTTTGGCCACAAACAGGGATAAATAAATTAAACATGTAACACATTTCTACTCTCAGTATTTCATTTGTATGTAATTTGAGGACTAACTTTTTAACTTTATTACATAGACATAAAGAAACTTATAGAGGAAAATACAAAAATCAACCAACAAAGTTGTAAATCCTACATACGTACTCATCTAATTTGAGCCAAATAGAAACCTTCAAGAAAAAATTTCAGGGTTTTCGAAAAAGTTCAAGTCATAAGTTTTCGAAAAGAACATTGGCTGAACATCTGAAGTACCGTGTACAAAGAAAAGAAGACAACATTTTTGACATTGACATTGACGTTGACGTTGACATTTGACATTTTCGTATGTCTTCTTTCTGTTTGTGTTCGTATTCAAAAGTAAAGCTTTAGTTATTTAAAACTTGTCTACAATTAAGAAGTCGACTGAAAACTAATAATAAAGATGTCCGCTTTCGTTGGGAAAATGGCATAATTTATTTTAAAGCAATTTATTCACTACGACACAACTAAACTGCACTCGGACATAACCTTACTATTACTTATTTTATACGATTTTGAATAAAAATGGAGGTTGGTGCAGTTAAACAGGCGTTCAATAATGAGGTTAGTACTAAATTAATGTAATTTATGTTAGCCTGGTCTTGTCATCAGTACTACTAAAAATACTACGCGTGAATAAATCTTTATAACCTCTAACTTTTGTTTATGTATTAAACCTAATTTTTAAATTATTTTAAGTTACATATGGGTCATTTTAAAACATCTTGTATGGGTCATTAACGAAAATAACTGGATTAAAGTGCTAATAACTACTTCACAATCAATTAAATTTTGCTACATTTAAGTAATCCTTTTCTTGAGTTCCAATGACACTAAAAAAATTAAGTAAATCCCTACAGACATTGTACAACTCAATCACTTATATTTTAATCATTACTTTTTAAAACATTCCAGATTATTCTAATGAAAAGAAATTTAAACCAAGCAAAAATACAAATTATACACAAGCTGACACGGAAAGCGAAAACATTAGCAGAAAAGAAGGCACCTGAAAATTTAAAAGAAAAATTGAAAAAGAAAGCAGAGTCAGCTGTTAAAGAAGTTCTAATTATTAAGGTAATATTCTTTAAGCAATGTAAGTTTTCAATACAAACATTATTGTAAACTCCTTTTATCTAGTCCTTAAATCCACTATACACACTCAGTTCATGCAAATTGGACTAAATACCAGAATTGTTCAGTTAATGTGATGTACAGTCATATTACTGCCTTCACTCACAATATTAACTGAATAGTTCAACAGTTCTGATAAAATTGTTAATGTCAAACTCTAATAAAAACACAGCAGTAAAAACTCTCTCCTGATTGTTTTGGCAGCCAGATCGGATACTACAATAGTGCTGCGCTTCAATAACTTGCTCTGCTAATAATGTAACTAGTTTAAATTACTTATAAATTGTTCCTTATTACTTTTTTACTAACACTAGTCAATAAGATTTTTTACTAACAAAATATGAGATCTCCTCGAAATAAAGTTTTATTATTATACTCCATATATCTTTATTTCTTATTCTCTATATAATACACTTTACAAGAATATAAAAATAAAATAATAATATTATTATTATTATTAATATTAATTTAATTGCATAAACTAAGTAAACAAAAGCACATGAATTCTGTACATGGCCATCATTTTAGTGTAAATACTAATTTATCCATGATTTATCTATATTTGGAGACAAATTTATTTTGTTACTATCAAAATAGGTTTGTTTGGGGGTTTTAACATTAAAATGGCAGCTTAACAACTGTATTTTTTAATAGAAAAAACTTGTATTTTCCAGAAAATAAAAGCAAAAGATATTGCAAAATTCATAGTCACATACAATGGAGAGCTTGCAAAGTATTTAAATAAACCAGAAGTAGATCATAATAAAGCATGTGCTAGGTTATTATTGCACAAAAGTATGCAAAATAAACATAAGTCCATAAGAGATACATTCGGTAATACTGCAATAAATGATCTATTCATGTCAAGATTGGAAAGGAGAAAGTTAAAGAAGGAAGCGAGAGAGAAACAACAAAATAAGAAGAAAGCAAAAGAGGCAAAGAAGTTAGTGAACATTGAAGGTGATTGGGATGTAGAAGATATAGGGAACAAAGGCACTACAGTTAAAAAGGTACAGGATAATGGATCAGACAGAAAAGATACACCAGACAGTGATGATGGTAAAGAAAGTGATGAGGGGTCAGAAATTGATGAACAACAAAGTGATATGGTGAATGCTGCACACAACAGTGATGATGAATCAAGTAGTGATGAACCAGATAATGATTTAGATAGTGATGAAGAAGCATTAATTGATTCTGAACAATCTGGCAGTGATATCAACAAATCTCAAATTGTCAGTGACTCGGATAATTCAGATACAGAAGTTAAAGAAAGTAAACTAAAAAGAAAAGGTTTACAAAAGAAAGAAATTGAAGACAATTCAAATAAAAGTTCAGTTAGTATAAATGTAGATATTTTAAATAAAGACAAAATACATAATAGTGAAATTGTAAAACTTAAAAAATTGCCGAAAGAAGTGAATAAAAAGAAAAAAGACGTTAATAAGAATAAAAATTTCAATGAAAAGATACTTAAAAGGAAATTCAATAAAGATATTGAAGAACAACCAGCGGAAGATATAAAAATGGTTGATCCTTTCTTTATAACAACAACAGGAGAAAGTTACATGTCTGTTGTTGAACCAAGACAACCAGATGAAGTGAAAGAGGTACATCAAGAAGGAAATAGAAAATACAGAAGAGCTGTTATGTTTGGACATGTACAGAAACCTAGGAGAAATGAATTTAAACAGGACAATAGAAGATTCAAAGATTTATCAAATGCAAATGATCGATTTAGTGAAAATAATAAAAAGAAATTTACTAATGAAAATAAAAAAGAAGGTGAAACAATCGAAAAATTACATCCCTCGTGGGAAGCAAAGAAGAAAAAATCAGGTATTTTACCTTTTGAAGGTAAAAAAATTGTTTTTGATGACTAAGAATAATTATGGTAATAAAATTGTTTTAACAAATTTAAATTTTATTTTTATTATTCCAATAGATATTAGAAACAGTTTTGAAATTATAAGGAAAATAATTTAAAAAGTTAACTTATGTTTTAAAACCATTCGTTTAAAATATCATTGAGTCTACATATTCTTTGTTGTGTATGATAATTCCGCGTTTCGTCTGATGAGTGTGGTGTCGGAGGCCTAATTTTGGTCCCTTTCCCTTTCCACCCTTTTCTTAAGAGAAAAGGATGGGAAGGAAAAGTGGATTTGACGGTGGAGGAGACGCATAGGAAGGGGAAATGTCCTCTTTATGGGCGTCTCCTCCTCCGTCAATTAAGGGTAGTAATGCATCTGCAATTGCGGATGTTTATGGGCAGCGATCGCTTTCCATTTCGGTGGATTCAGTTGGCCGCTTGCTCGTTTGCCAACATATACTATAAAAAAAAATGTTGCCACTTGTAACTTTTTAAAAGAATATATTTGTCCTGAAAAACTGATAACTCGTTACCCTTTTATAAACCTAATCCTTCATAAAACGAGCGGTCACGTCGCGTCGATTTATGGCTTCTGCAATCTGACTGATTCTTACACGTAGATAAATTTAATGGATTTTCTAGGAAAGGCCGTTTCACTAAGATAATATGAAATACGTTACTTTTGTCAAAATAGTTTTTAATTTCTATGTATTTAGCGTTTGATTTTTCAAAAATATAATAGACCGGTTAAGAGAAAAAGAGAAAGAGACGACGCCCTGGGAGAGATTTCTACAGTGCCCCCTTTTTACCATACATGGTAGGGTCAACAGGCTGTGTAAATTGAAGACTGGCGCCCCTTTCTGTTCAGCACCCTAGGTCACCTAACCACGCCCGACTTTGACTCTGCAAAATAACACCTTCCAACAATTCATAAATCTAATAAAATTAATCTACTTTACTTAGCTTATTAAAATTCCTATTATCTTTTAAAGTTTTCATTTCACGGGGAAGTAAGTGCACCGCGTCTGTGCCATTTATAATTTTTATTATCTGTCGCGCCCTCACGTAGTATAAAAGTGACTCCATCTAATTGGAGCAGTAAAGTAAGAAATGAACCTTCACTTTTACAATGCTACTTTATACTTAGTAATGGTTAATGATATTTTTTATTTATAAAGCAAGTGGTAATATCCGGAATAAAGTGTAATTATTATCCAGGTGAATAAAAAAAATATGTCAAAGGTAGCGCTAAAATCTTATGGTAATTATAAAATAATATAACAGTCAATGTTTGGTATTGTCTATTGTTGAATCCAAAACTGTTAATCGATTATTAACAAGGTCTATGGTAATTTAATTTTTTTATCTAACAATATTAAGTAGCTTTGGCTATAGAGTGGTTATTCATTTTTATATTAATTTTATTAGCGCCTTCAGCACCTTAGGTAGCTAAAAATTAGTAGTATCTCCAAACGCTTGCTGGTAAATAAATGCAGGCGCATTTAAATTGCGTGTCCTGTGAAAGGAGGTAAGTCATGGACTTGTAGTTGATATATTTCTCTAAATCGGAGGTGCTATTATTTTATTTAATAAAAAGAATAATAAATAAGTAAGAGGCACAGTTGCCGCGCTGCACGTTTGTATAACAGCATTACGTATTCCGACTGCGAAGTGGCTGGACGTTTATTATGCAATGTTATGTTCCCCAAACATAGTTAGGCCTCGACTAAATAATGTATTGAACACCGTATAAATATATTTATATAGTATTCAATATATTATTTGGAAAGAAACTTTTATACAATAAAGTTTCGCTCAATGTCGGAGTATATTAAAACTTGGTTCGTAATATTTTTCATAATTTCTGTACTTCGTAAAGTTCAAAAAGAACAGAGTAAAATTGTGATCAAAACTAATCATACAAAGTCTATTTTCTTCAGCGAAATTATTTTCTAGAGACATTTTAACACCGTTTCACAAAGTTAGGTACGTGAGAGTAGGAAATAGAGATTCCCAAACGAGCCTGTTACAATAATAAGGGCCATTTTCACGTGCGACAGAACGAGGAAATCACGATGTGCCGGCAGGACGTTACCGTGCAGATTAAAAACAAATATCCGTTAGGAATTTGTGCTGATTTACACTTTTTTCTTCGGAATAAAAGCAACGGTTTTTCAGCCGACAGTCTCTTTTTCGAAAATTAGTTGCAAATATGTAATTTGCATATTGTTCTCTATGCGCACTGATTGTTTGGAAAATAAAATCTCTAAATTCAGTATTCAAAAACGCACGAGTACAGATTATATAAGAGATTCGAATACTAACCAAAGTTTATTACAGACTTGGAGCTCGTCCAAAAGCAACCTCCCAAACACGCGACTCGCTTAGAATTTTTATATCCACACTGTTTATGAATTTGTTTTTAAAGTCTATGGAAAACAGTGTTAATTCGATGCTGCAGATATTTAAAAGTTGGTCTTCGTAGCATAAATATATTTGTACACAGCTGCAAAACGGGAACCTATATCGAAGGGCACGAAAGTCATAACAAGTCGACATTCACTCCCTTCTATGTTTTACCTCCACATTTAAATCAATCTTACTAATATTATAAATGCGAAAGTTTAGATGGATGGATGGATGTTTGTTAGCGTTTGTAGCCTAAACGGAAGAACGGATCTCCATGAAATTTGGCACAGATTTAGAGCATAGTCGGGAAGAACACATAGGCTACTTTTTATCCCTGGAACAGTTACGGTTCCCGTGGGATTCAATAATATAGTTTTTTAATGTTTACTCGATCGTTCTGCAACGGTTCAACATATCTTATTGAAATTTGGCACAGATATAAAACAAAGTCTGGAGTACACATGGGATAAGCTTCATCCCCGAGAAATGTCAGGTTCCCGAGGGATACGTAGCTATTTGTAATTTATATAGTTCGTATGTTTTCTAATACTACGCGGACGAAGTTGCGGGCAACATCTCGTCATAGAATAAAAATCACATTACTGAAGGGCTCGATCATACATTAAGTTAGGAGTGACTAGGCATTAGTTAACCATGTATTTGGTCGACTTTACGTAAATTTATACTAATTTTATGAAGAGGAAAGATTTGTATTTTTGTCTGTATTGAAATAACTACTGGGCCAATTTGAAAAATTCTTTCACCGTTAGGAAGGTAAAGAAAGGTATCTGTAAGTAACAAAGGCATTTCACGCGGACGAAGTCGCGAACATTCATATTATATAATAGGAGAAACACCACTAAAGGGCTCGATACTACATTAAGTTAGGAGTGGCTAGATCTTAGTAAACCATGCTGGCTTAAGATGAATTGGTTGACTTCACATATGTCTATGTATAGTTTTACTCTAAAAAATTTAGACGTAGTGTACAAATATAAAGTGTACCGTTTACATATGGATTTGTAAACTAGTGACATAGCTATGTAAATCGGTCTGAGTGCTAAGTCGCTCGCTGCTGCCACCTGGCGGGGTCGCATGGCATTCCTCACGTGATGGAATTTATTGCATCGTGAGGGTGCAATTGCAAATGCCGACTGCGCTCATTGTGAACGCCTTGCTTTAGGGCTGTCAACAACCTACCTCTTCTTTGCATGGTGTTAATTCGAGCTTTGAATTTGACAAAGTTAGTGACGCTGTGTCGTTTATCCTAGTTCCTAGGGTTGATATCGTCTTTTTTTCGTTACCTGTATTCGCGTCTACATTAATTTATAATTGCCAACCCTGAATAGATAGATTTCATGTACTTATGAGTACTTGTTCTTAGTGTATACTTGATGGTATTCTAATTTAATATTGCACGTTTATTAAGCTGTGAATTGAATTTTTGAAATATGCTTTAAATTTAAAATGTCTCAAAAATGGCCCAAATTTTGACCAGATTTTGTTATTTTCTCACGTATTAATCTTCGTCCGCGAGGAATTAAAACCTTTGTTACTCACTAATAACGTAGCTTCTTAACAGTGAAAAAACTTTTGTAATAGGTTCCAGTAGTTTTCGAGTAATTCAATACATACAAAAATACAAATCTTTCTTCTTTGTAATATTAGTATTACAAAGAAGAAAGATTAGTAGATATAGATATCCGCAGATATAGAAGTAGGTTGTTGTAAAAGTTAAGAATGTTTAGATGTCGTCATATACTTAACTTTTTTTTGGTAATTTCGAAATTTCTCCTATTTAGCCAAATGTGGTTCCGTAAAAATAAAGGAGGCACCGAATGTTAGTGTTAGTAACGTAGGATAAAATACCGTCCCCTGTATTAACATATTCATGTATTCCGTACAAAAGTCGAGGTCGGCGCGCCTCCGTCCGACGCTCCTCGCAAAATGTTATAAATCGCCTCGCTTCGTGCTCGAATAAATTTTGGTTTTTCAACTATTATTGCCTGACCCTAATAATGATCGAGTGGCGATCACCGTGGATTTAATTCTACTTTAAATATAGTTTAACTGAGAATTATTACATGTTTCACCATTTACATTTCCACTATTATTTTAGGCGTATTTGTATAGGGGATACACAGAAAAAGGATATAAAGTTTTCTTTTCTACGTTACATTAAGAATAGACAACGCACTTAATCTTTTTCATTTATTGCAAACTAGCTTACGCCCTCGCCTCGCATGGAACTAAACAAAAATAAAGTAAGTAGCCTACGTGTTCTTTCTATGTTCTAAACCAATGCCAAATTTCTTAGAGATCCGTTCAGCAGTTTAGGCTACAAACTCTAACAAACATCTATTCATCTAAACGTTCGCATTTATAATATAAAAATAAGTAAATCTAGTACAAACCAATACGGCTTAAGGTCCTTCTAGAAGCGAGACTACATTTTCCTTAAAGGTCGGCAACGCATCTGTAGTTCCTCTGGTGTTGCGGATGTCTGGGCGTCGTTGACTACTTCGGTGTTCCCATTGCTCGTTTGCCCCCTTCTCTTATAAAAAAGATGTCTACAGGTAGCAGTAACTTTAATTTTTATCTCTTATTTTATTTAAATAACTTTTATCCTAAAATTCTATTATT